TTAGGTCTATCATTTCATAAGAATATTTTTTTTTTTTTTTTTTTTGAAAATTTGACACTGAAAGCAAGTTTGTAAGCAGGGGTCTTGACAGTGAAAGGTTTAAAAATGACAAGACCACAAAAATGAAGGTGTAATTTTAAACCCCAATCACGTGATTAAAATATAGACCACTGAAATATCTGAAGATGAGGTAACTCTACTAAAGTACAGTGGACCCCCGGTATTCGATGTCATCGGTATTCGATAAATCCGGTTTTCGATGCATTTTAACGCAAAAATTTTTCCTCGGTATTCGATACGATTCGTACGAGACCTGTCCACGTGTGGCCTGAACTGCCCCGTGTGTGCTAGTGTTTACAAGCCAGCCAGTGTGCGCGCATCTAAGGATACATTCGGTACATTCCATATTATCCATATTATCACTGTGTTTGGTGCTTGTTTCTGCAAAATAAGTCACCATGGGCCCGAAGAAAGCTTCTAGTGCCAACCCTTCGAGAAAAAAGTCGCTAATGACTTATGAAATGAAGAAAGAGATAATTGCAAAGTACGAAAGTGGAGTGCGTGTGCCGGAGCTGGTCAGGTTGTATAATAAACCCCAATCAACCATCTCTACTATAGTGACCAGGAAAACGGCAATCAAGGAAGCTGTTCTTGCAAAAGGTGCAACTGTGATTACGAAACAGCGACCGCAAGTGTTAGAAAATGTTGCGAAATTGTTATTGGTGTGGATAAATGAAAAACAGATAGCAGGAGATAGCATCTCTCAAGCGATCATTTGTGAAAAGGCTAGGCAGTTGCATGACGATTTGGTAAAGAAATTGCCTGCAACTAGTGGTGATGTGAGTGAATTTAAGGCCAGCAAAGGTTGGTTTGAAAGATTTAAGAATCGTAGTGGCATACATAGTGTGATTAGGCATGGTGAGGCTGCCAGTTATGTTGTGAGACAGAAGTCCAGTGATTCTCAAGCTGGTCCTAGTGGCATTAAAAGAAGAAGGGAAGTAACCCCGGAAAAGGACTTGCTACCTCAAGTCCTAATGGAAGGGGATTCCCCTTCTAAACACTAACACCTCTCCCCTCCTCCCATCCCATCAATCATCACCAGATCTTCATTAAAGGTAAGTATCAATTATTTTATTGATATTGTAATTATTCTATTGCATTAAACTTAATATTTCATGTAGTAAAAATTTTTTTTTCATACTTTTGGGTGTCTTGCCCAGATTAATTTGACTTCCATTATTTCTTATGAGGAAAATTTATTCGGTTTTCGATATTATCGGTATTCGAGGAGCTCTCAGGAACGGATTAATATCGAATACCGGGGGTCCACTGTATTAAAAATAAAATAGTAGTACAACAGGCTAGATGAAAGAGCACAAGCCTCTATACAATGTGTACAACTGGGGAAACTTGGAATCTTCCTAAAAGGTGTTCTTTTTTCTTAATACAGTGGAACCCCAGTTTTCCTCCAGTCCGAATATTGTACAATTCGGATTTTGGTCACCTCTTTTCAGTGAATTTTTACCCTGGGTTTCATACATCCACATGCGTCCACCTGCCTGGGATGCCGCCGCTCACACACCTGAATCAGTCTGCCTGTTACTCGTTCAGTGAACAATATTCCAAGCGTTCATCCATTGTTCTTGGTGCTTGTTTATTGAGCGCGACTGCAAAATAAGCCACCATAAGGCCAAAGAAAGTCCAAAGTGCCAGCCCTTTGGTAAAGAAGGTGAGAAACATGATAGAATTCAAGAAGAGCTTTTATCAAAATACGAAAGTGGCCGAGCTCACCAGGATGGTTGAGGAGTTTAGTTTCATCACAGTGAAGTTCTTGCCCAGTAATACCACTCCTCATGTCCGCAATATGTTCAATGACAATGCCTTGTCCCATTTTAGGCAAATCTTCAAGAGATGCTAGAAACAGAGAGCTCTGGACAGATTTTTTGTGCAACAGGGGTACAGTGACTCAAGCTGGTCCTAGTGCCAGTAAAAGACACAATAAGGGAAGTAACCCCGGATAGGGCTTTGATACCTGAAGTCCTTATGGAGGGGATTCCCCTTCCAAACAGTAAACTCTCCTCCCTCTCCCCTCCTTGCTTTCTTCCATACACCAACAAGAGTCTTCAATAAAGGTATGTAATAGTGATTTAAATGTTCATTTATCCATTTCATTAGTCATTTATATTTATTTCTCACTGTTTTCTGTATGTAAAACTATAGTTATTCTCTATAAAATGCATTTTTTGTTAATATTTTTGGGTGTCTGGAACGAATTAATTGGATTTACATTATTTCTTGTGGGAAATATTACTTCAGTTTCATCCATTTTGGATTTCGACCGACCTTCTGGAACGGGGGTTCCACTGTATTGGCATATACTGTGCCAATATTACAAAGGGAGATGAGCAAAACCCTTTGAACTATATACTTGCCTCATTTACAAAGTGTTACTGTAAAAATACTGTACACAAAAATGCCAATAGAGAAAAGGGAGATAAATCACTGAGAGCAGAAGAATGCTGACTGACAGTCTAGCTTTTGATCAGAAAATTCTTGTACACTGTTTATTTAAACTATTACCCTTCTACAATACAAGTCACAAGAATTATTGGAGAGAAACAGACAGGCACACTGAATTTATTTAAATTTCAACAACCAAGTATTTGTTAACCACGAGGCTGATCTGGAAACAACATAACATAAGAGGTAATGTTACCAGCAGAATGCTGCAACAGGGACATAAGAAATCAGAGGTGCTAAAATTACTAGTAAGGTTGTCTTCATAAACAGCAGTAGGGTTAAAAGAAGCTGAGTGCTATAACCATGGGAAATTTAAAATGAAGTTTAAAAAAGTAAAAACCCAAAACAAGGCACCACAAGATTAGCATGTGTCCTTTTACCTAACAAGATTAATTCTGCTTCTGTAGATACCAATAGGTAATTACTTGGCCCTCATCCATTAATTCTTAAACTACTACTCTCCAACAGTACTATATGCTAACCCTCAAACACTACCATGTTCCATCACTTTCTTTCTGATATACCCTCAAGCTACTAAAATATAAATTTGTATCATGAAAGTGCAAAATACTACAGAGCCCAAGGTTTACCACCCTTCATTACTGCACCAACATCTTCCAGCTTCCCCCCTCCTCCCTCCCATGTTCCTTACTCATCTTCCACTTCTTCTGTAGATCCTATATTTTCCAAAAAATCATTCACAAATTTATATGAAACTTCAGTAGAATCAAATACAAACCACATCAGCATCATCCACCCACAGAAAATGGGTTTGTTCACAATGGTTAATTCACCAGCCCCTCCTCAACTGTACCATCAACTACAATACACACTGTCAACTCTTTCCTCTCCCCCAAACTCAAATAGGTTATTGCAAGTACAGTATTTAATTACACATAAATGAATCAAGCTCAAAAAAACTGATGATCATAATATTAGTTTAAAAGTACATTACTACCATTTTTTCATGGAAACTGAGCTTTGTGTAATTATGCTAGAAAATTTTCTAAAAATAATTTTTTTCTCTGCAAAAACAGAAAGCATATATGAAACATAGTATATTAACATGAGCTGCTGCATCCTAATATGCTATTTCTTTAATAGGACACGGCGTCAATGCTCACAATGTAGTTTACCTACGTAATTTTACAGTACAGTTTAATCTTAGAGCAATGTGATATTTAGCACTTTCAAATAGTACCACAGTTTTATGAAGACTCGATACTGTATAGTAAACATGAATTCAATGGTTGCAAGTTAAAATTCAGCAGCAGTTCAAATTCACCATACATACTACAGTTTCCAAGAACATTTGGTATATACAGGATGTCTGAAGTCCTTTTAAAGTTTTTTAACAACAAAAGGATAACTATGAAAATGCAGTTATTTGCACATGACAGCTGAACTAAGAGAAGATTTTATATACCTTCACAAGTGTCTAATTTGTGCAATCTCAACATTTACATCTCTAATGGCCTGCAATACATCTAATTGATACTCCAGTTCATTCCAACATATCTTGCAAGCCATTTCCAATGCCATTATTTATTATAACACTGTTTTAATGTCGACTACTGATACAGTATCCAGAAAACAATCCTTTACAAACCCCCACAAAAGTCTAAAGGCTTGGTACTGGAGAAGTGTGGAGAGCCTTCTGATGGGGTCACAATACCCAATCTATTTGCCTGGACAGTTGTGTTATAATAATTGTGTGATTGTATGCAGAGAACTGCATTTCCATAATTTACCTTATTGTTATAATAAATTTTTGAAATCAGAAAAGAACTTTGTGGATATCCTGTATTATGGAAAAAAAAAAAATAGATTAAACTAATGTAATACAAACTGTACAAACAACAATAACTTGCATCATTTGGTAATGCACAATCAATAATGTTGCTATTGTTACACACTAGCCATAAGTTTTACGACTCACTCACCAAGTGTTCAAACCCCACCATGGTTAGCTTATTCCTTGGGGAAAAAAAAAATCACCTGATATGGGTCTTACTTGTAAGTTGTGCTGAATGTCTAAGGACATACGCAAAAATGAGGTAGCCAATGGCCTTACAATGGACCATGGCTCCAGTGCTGGACCCCACACTTCAAGTGAAGCATGAATCTGTTACATTTGTTATGCCTTATCATGATGCAAGCAATGCCTTTGGACATGTCTGTAACATCCTTGATCTACATGATATTGTTAATTCGTGCAACAGTTTAATGGCTATAAGTTCTTTTTTATTTAAGTTGTTTATTTAAATACAGAAAGTTCTGAGTGCAAGATGAACTAATAGTGTTAGTGTCAAATATTAGAACGGTGAAAGCTGAAAATTTTAACATGCATGCAACAATGCAGAAATAACTGAAACTAGTTAAAGGTCAAGTCATGCAAGCTGGCAAACTTAGTTCACTACAAACTAGCAATCATAGTAGTAATTCGAGTGATACCATTGTAGTGCTTACAACCTACTCACCTTCCGCTGATATACAGCAATCCAGTCTGTTGAAGCGAACCACTTGTGATTCTTAATGTCATTTACAGCATTCTTCAAGTTTCCATACCGCTTGGTTAGATCAACCTGTAGGAGGTTCCGCAGCAGGTCCTTCAGGTCAGACGAAAAATGACCTGGGAACCGCACCTAAAATGGAAGTTCACATTAGTACATTATGATGATGTACAAAAATGTTCCCAACTCAGACTAAACAATTTGCAGATTTTAACTCAAAGCTGTAAAATCACTCATACTGGGATGAACATCAGCCAACTAGTTAATTTTCTTGGGTTTAATTTAAGCAACCTGTGGCACAATCTACAATACGTAAATGCAATGAATTTTATGCAGAAAATATATATCCAATAAACATGTGTGTGCACTCTTCATGGCCAACCAATAAGGTTATTTAGTAACAAAAGTGGGAGTCATGGTGAAAGGATGATGCTGTACTTTACAAAAATGAATAAAGTACTAGAGTTATTTCATACTTCAGACAGCAGTAACAGTGTGATATTTACAACTCATATATGGAGGATTTTATTTAGGTAGTAGGTTGGTAAACAGCAACTGCCCAGGGAGGTACTACCATCCTGCCAAGTGAGCATAAAACAAAAGCCTGTACTTGTTTTACATGATGGTAGGATTGCTGGTGTCCTTTTTTCTGTCTCATAAACATGCAAGATTTCAGGTACGTCTTGCTACTTCTACTTACACTTAGGTCACACTACACATACATGTACAAGCACATATATACATGCCCCTCTGGGCTTTCTGCTATTTTCTTTCTAGTTCTTGTTCTTGTTTATTTCCTCTTATCTCGATGGGGAAGTGGAACAGAATTCTTCCTCCGTAAGCCATGCGTGTCGTAAGAAGCAACTAAAATGCGGGGGGCAAGGGGCTAGTAACCCCTTCTCCTGTATACATTACTAAATTTAAAAAGAGAAACTTTCATTTTTCTTTTTGGGTCAGCCTGCCTTGGTGGGATACAGCCGGTTTGTTTAGAAAAAAAAAAATATATGGATTTTATGAAGACATTAAATAAAACACGAATACACAGCCTCTCCTCAATGACAGAGTTCCGTTCCTAATACAGAGTCGATAAACAAATTCGTCGCTAAACGAAGAGCATACTATAATGGCAGTGGGTTTATGTCAACCCTCTCTGATATTGTTGTAATGTCACCCTTGCACCATTTATAACAATTTTAGTATAGCATTTTTAAATGTTTATGCAGTAGTGTACTGTACATTGTAATAAAGAGAATAGAGGAAATCAGCTCTAATATACATTATTTTGGTATGCATACTGGCCAGAGAGCCCATCGTAAGTTCAAGTCATCGGTAAATGAGTACAGCGGACCCTCGGATATCGTAGTCGTTGGATTTCATAATATTTGGTAATCTCAACATTTTTTTGTCAAAATATTGGCTCAGTGATCGTCATTTACCTCGGTAATAGTTGTTCATCCCAAACGCGTATGAGTGGCCCCAAGCGGCCCCACACCATTCCACACCATTCACAGTCAGTCTGCTATTGTTTATCAGCGAATGACCGCCACCCCACGTGTTCATACAATACATTTCATAATATTCCATCCTTTTTTTGTGCTTGCAACTGCTAAATAACCCACCATGGGCCCAAAGAAAGCTTCTAGTGCCAACCCTTTGGTAAAGAAGGTGAGAAACACTCACAAATACTTGAAGATGTGGAGACTTGGTTGTTGGTTTGGATCAATGAAAAACAGTTAGCAGGAGACAGTGTTATGCAGTTGATAATCTGTGAAAAGGCAAGGCAGTTGCATGATGATCTTGTAAAGAAAATGCCTGGAACTAGTGCTGATGTTAGTGAATTTAAGGCCAGCAAAGACTGGTTTGAGAGATTTAAGAAGCATAGTGGCATACACAGTGTGGTAAGGCATGGAGAGGCTGCAAGTTCTGACAAATATGTGGCTGAAAAATATGTTCAGGAATTCAAGGGGTACATAGAGGCTGACCAATTCAAACCCCAACAAGTGTTCAATTGTGACAAAACAGGCCTCTTTTGGAAGAAAATGCCAAAGAGGACCTACATCACGCAGGAGGAAACGGCACTCCCAGGACACATGCCTATGAAAGACAGGCTAACTCTCATGTTCTATAGTAATCCTCATGAGGATTTCAAAGTGAAGCCTTTACTGGTGTATCACTGAAAATCCCAGTGTTTTCAAGAAAAAAAGTGTCATCAAGAGTAAACTGTGTGATGTGGAAGGCAAACACTAAGGCATGGGTCATAAAGGAAATTTTCTTTGATTAGCTCAATGAAGTATTTGGCCCGAGTGTGAAGAAATCCCTCCTGGAAAATAAATTGGAACTTGAGTGCCTCCTGGTACTGGACAATGCTCCTGCTCATCCTCCAGACTTGGATGACCAAATTGTAGAGGAGTTTTGTTTCATCACAGTGAAGTTCTTGCCCTCTAATACCACTCCTCTTGTCCAGCCCATGGACCAGCAGGTCATTGCAAACTTCAAAAAACTCTATACCAAGAGCAATGTTTCAAAGGCGCTTTGAAATAGCCTCGGACACTGAACTGACCCTATGAGAGTTCTGGAAAGATCTCTTCAGTATCCTCCACTGCATAAACCTTACAGGTAAGGCTTGGAAGGGAGCGACTTCCAGAACTCTGAACTCTGCTTGGAGAAAATTGTGGCCAGAATGTGTCCAAGAGAGGGATTTTGAAGGGTTTGGAGCTAACCCTGATGAGCCTATGGCAGTTGTGGAAAGTACTGTGGCATTAGGGAATTCCATGGGGTTGGAGGCGAGTGGCAAGGATGTGGAAGAGTTGGTGGAGGACCACAGGGAAGAGCTAACCACTCAAGAGCTGCAAGAGCTAACCACTCAAGAGCTGCAAGAGCTTCATCTGCAACAGCAACAGACCACAGCTCAGGAAATTGCTTCAGAGGAGAAGGAAGAAGAGAGATGGAAGGTGCCTTCTTCAAAGATTAAGGACATTTGTGCAAAGTGGAGTGAGGTGCAAACATTTATGGATGAACATCACCCTGACAAAGCTGTTGCAGGCCATGTTGGCAACATGTACAATGACAATGCCATGTCCCATTTTAGGGAAATTTTAAAGAAACGCCAGAAACAGTGCTCTCTGGAACAATTTTTTGAGCGACAGGGGTCCAGTGACTCTCACGCTGGTCCTAGTGGCATTAAAAAACAAATAAGGGAACTCCAGAAAAGGACTTAGTACCTTAAGTCTTTATGGAAGGGGATTCCCCTTCTAAACAATAGTAACTCCTCCATCCTCTTCCCTCCTCCCATCTTCCATACATCAACAGGTCTTCAATAAAGGTTATACAGTAGAGTCCCTGTATCCACAGGGATGTGTTCCAAGGACCTGCTGTGGATACCGAAACTGCAGACAGTAGCAAACCCTATACAGTGGACCTTCGACTAACGATATTAATCTGTTCCAGAGAGCTTATCTTTAGGCGAATTTATCGTTAGTCAAATTAATTTTCCCCATAAGAAATAATGGAAATCCAATTAATCTGTTCCAGACAGCCAAAAGTATTAAAAAAAATTTTTTTCATGAAATATACATTTCCCTACAAAGAAAACAATTAGATATGCACAATAACTACATAAATAAATGTTAAAATGACGCTTACCCTTACTGAAGAGTATTGAACACTCTGGGATTTTCAGAGTGATACACGAGTAAAAGCTTCACTTTGCAATCCCCACTAGCATTACAACAAAACATGAGAGTTAGCCAGTCTTTCATAGGCTTGTGTCCTGGGAGTGCCTTTTCCTCCTGAGTAATGTAGATCCTGTTTGGCATTTTCTTCCAGAACAGGCCTGTTTCATCACAATTGAACAATTGTTGGGGGTGGAATTTTTCAGCCTTATAACACTGAATGAAACTACGATTCTTAAATCTCTCAAACCAACCTTTGCTGGCCTTAAATTCACCAATATGAGCACTAGTTCCAGGCATTTTTTCCTGTTCACCTGGGTGTTAGTCAACTAGTGTGGGTCGCATCCTGGGGGACAAGATTAACCCTTTCAAGGTCCTCAGGCCCTCTCCCAGACTCGTTCTCAGGGTCGCCCAAATTAAAAAAAAAAAAAAAATCTTATGAAAAGATAGAGACTCTTGTCCCGATCATAATGACACCAAAAGTACGAAATTTGATGGAAAACTTATGGAATTATGCTCTTGCAAAGTTAGCGGTCTCGACGATGTTTACGCGACAGTGATTTCGCCCACATTGAGCCCTATTTTCGGCCAATTCCAGTGTACTAGTCGACAAAAATCATAACTATTTCGCTAGAACACCATTTTTTCTATCGAACGAGTACAAGAAACCACCCATTTACCGATTTCAACTATCCAATACAGTGGTCAGAATTTAGCAATTTTGCCAATTTCACACAAATTTCAAGATGCCAATTTCCAAATAGGGTCCAGAATAAACAAGAAAGACATTCCTGGCACTAAAATAACATTTCCTCTGTTGATTAGTCACATCCCCATGCCCCTCTTACATTCTTTTGCTTTCCACTTTGAATTTTTTATTCCTCACAAAAAATAGAAGATTTACTGTTATGCAGACTACTGCATTAGCGTAGAAATGGTATAAATAATATCGGCGCACTTGTGAAAGAATATTAGACTCATCAGTTGATGTGTATTGGACGCTTAGCATGATTTGTTTACTTTTGAACGTTGGTAAAAATCCAACATTTCTGCTACTGAGCTCAATTTCAAGGTACTTTTCATTGTAAAACCAGTCAAAATCATCTCAATTTCTGTAATATGTCTTCCATTCTATAAAATGAGACCAGGAAAACTAGAATACAACAATAAATACCATACGAAAATACAGTGCAAAGTCGCTCTTTTAATCCAAAAACAGTTTTTTTTTTCTCATTACACACTGTGTGCTGCAGGATTTTTTTTATACTGCGCACACTGACCACATAGACCCATTCTTTCATATGTAGGCCTACCAGCTTTCTCTCACTAGATTTGAGGGCGCTAGAATTTAGGCGTATACTAGTAAGTAAAAAACACTGGTGCGTAAGCCGTACTAGTACGTCCGAAAACCTGAAAGGGTTAAGGACCCCAATGGAAATAAGTTAGACAGTCCTCGATGAT